TTTGTAGCTTCCAGAGCTAAGGCCCAGGATGTGGGTCTGCAGCTTCAAAGGGGAGGAGGACAGATCACAGGGAGATGGGAGAGCAGAAGTATGGTAGCCAGCTGTCTGCCTGCCATGCAGGCGAGCCTCACATTTAAAAAGAAATGACCTCTGATCTTTGCTGTCTTTCTGGACCAGGCTCCCTACCTACATGATTTTAATGTAATCATTTCATTTTTTGTCCCTCTCTCCCCCCTTTATTTTAGAGAGAGGAAGGGAGAGGGAGAGCAAGAGAGGAACATGGATCAGTGGTCTACAGTTTAGGGCCCCCTGGGGACATGGAACACGAATTTGAATCCACCGCCTTTGGTGCACAGGGGAAAGCTACTAACGACTGAGCCACACCGGCCAGGGCCATACCTACATGCTGTGAAGGGCGAGGTGAAAGTTCTCGCACCCCAATGACTGGGTCTTCATTGCCCTCCGCTCAGCAGAATCAACATGCAAAAGTGGCATGGTTTGGAGGCACCCAGCGTACCTCTGAGGCCAATAAGACCAACACCAGCCGAAACCGGTTTGGCTCAGTGGATTGAGCCTTGCCTGCAGACTGAAAGGTCACAGGATCGATTCCGGTCAAGGCCATGTACCTTGGTTGCGGGCTCATCCCCAGTGGGGGGTGTGCAAGGGGCAGCTGATCAATGATTCTCTCTCATCGATGTTTCTAGCTCTCTGCCCCTCTCTCTTCCTCTTTGTAAAAAATCAATAAAAAATAGAGAAATAAAAAGACCAACACCAAACAGGTGCACGCACTGCATGCAGCACACGCTATGGCCCGCAGGCGGCGCCCTCTGCGGGGTTCCAGATTGTGCAAGGCGCCCGTCCATTCCCCAGCTCCCCGCCACCCCCCCCCCCGCCCTACCCCACTCAATGCCCTCCACCCCGACCCCACCCGCCCCACCCATTCCCCACCCCGCCCCCTTCCACCCCCAACCGCCCCAGGCGCCCGCACCCCCTCTGGTCGGACCGCCTCCTCCCCGCGGCACCTCCCTCGGGTTTAAGAGAGAGGCCGAGCTCACAGCTCAGCAGCCGCTGTCTCCCTGCTGATCTCCCTCCCCAGCCGAGCTCCTCCGTGCCCGCTGTTCCCAGTTCCGTGCCCGCTGCTCCGCCAAGATGATGGTCGGTGGCCCTTCCGACACCAAGCCCGCCACGGCCGAGATCCAGGCCATCGCCGACAAGGTAGGCGGCCCGGGGCCTCCCGCCCCGCCCACAGGGGCAGCCCCGCCGGGGCGCTGGGACCGGGACCGTGGGCCTGGGCTCTGGGCTCTGCGCGCCCAGGGTCGGAGGGAAGGGCCCCGTGTGGGTCCTCGGCGGTTCCGGGGGGATCAGAGAGAGAGGGGAGCCAGGGCAGGTGGGATGGAAGGTAGCGGTCCGTGAACCGGGGAAGAAATCCTACACGTCTACCCTTATTCTAGTGCTCTTTGTGCACGTTTGAAGTCATCCCCAAATAAATGTTAAAAAGAAAAAGAAAAAGAAAAAGAAAAAGAAAAAGAAAAAGAAAAAGAAAAAGAAAAGAACCAGAAACCAGGCTGGGAGGCAGAGGCAGCGCCTGGCTCAGACCCTGGGCAGCGCTGGACTCCCGTGCCTCCGTGTTCTCCTCTGGAAAGTGGGCTCCCTGGGTGCCTTCCCCGGAGGTTCTGGGGGAGGGAAGGGTTTACGGTGGGGCCACAGGAAGGGTTTACGGTGGGGCCACAGGAAGGGGAGACGGTGGGGCCACAGGAAGGGGAGACGGTGGGGCCACAGGAAGGGGAGACGGTGGGGCCACAGGAAGGGGAGACGGTGGGGCCACAGGAAGGGGAGACGGTGGGGCCACGGGAAGGGGAGACGGTGGGGCCACGGGAAGGGGTGACGGTGGGGCCTTGGGAAGGGGAGACGATGGGGCATCGAGAAGGTTCAAGTTTGGAGGAGACACAAAGTCAAACAAACCTGCTTCCCTCACTCCATAGTACCCCTCCTCCCACCACGCCCCTTTGCTCAGGTGGTTCAGACCATCTGACCACAGTAACGCGTGAATCAGACCCATGGGACTTTGAAAATGGGGAATCTGTAGAGACTGCCAGGCGAGCCAGCGTGGGCGAGGTTCCTCTCCCTCAGCTCCCGAGCCCAGCCTCTCCTGCGGTTCAGTTTCCCGAGCCTACGGGATTCCTCACTTGCTGCGTGAACTTTGAGCATCAGCTCGCTCAGGAGAGAGGGGTCGCTGTCTCCTTAATGTGGTGTTGGTCCCTTGAGAGTGACAAATAAGGTAAGAGGGCAGTCCATGGCCGCTGGGAGGCAGTTCTGGAGGGCGGGCTTTGCCTGTGGCTCCTAGAGGACAGGGCAGGCACATCTTCCTGCCTCCCCTGTGTACACTGACTCCTCCCCAAGCTCTCTGGGCTGCAGGAGAGGAGAACAGAGGCCAGAGAGGGAGCCGTGGCCAGAAGGATGTCAGAGTCCCTAATTCTGGCTCAGCCTCCTTGAGTAGAACCTACCAGTCCTGACCTTGGCCTTTCCTGGCCCTCTGGGGTCTCCTGGCTCCTGGAGGGCTAATGACGGGCAACTTCCTAACCATCCCAGGCCTTCCGTGCTCCCCTTCGCCCCAGCACAGCCCACCTTTCTCCCGGCCAGCAGTAAATCAGTGAACCGCCACCACAGGCAGGGCCTGGAGGCTGCCACGTGCCCAGTCCCAGCGCCCTCATTTGGGTTGTCTCACTATTCCTTGCCTTCCTGCCTCCACTCCTGAAACAGGCCAGGAGGGAGGCGATTCCTTCCCAGACTCCCCTGTGGGTTGGTGTGTGTCACTCCTCCCCTGAGGCTTGTCCACCGTCTGCAGGGTCAGATCCCTGCAGACCAAACATGGCGCCTTGCAAGACAGGTAAGCATTGAGACAGGTGGGACTGCAGTGAGAACCCAGCCGGCCGCATGCAGAGGGCAGAGTAGCAGCAGGAGGGGCCTGCCTTCTCCCTTCCTGACCCTCCCTCCTGTCCTTAGCTGCTGACTCCATTTCACCTCCTTTCTTATCCCTGGTTAGAGCCCCTCCCTGAAGGTGCAGGGAAGCCATGAAGCCTTTGTGCCGTTGGCTAGTGACTCACTGGCGTGTCATGAGAGTCATCCCTGTGGGCTCCCACAGCTCATCAAGCTGAGTTAACGAAAGTCCTCTAACTTTCCTCACCGCGTCCAGTCACTCCAGCCAAAGTCAGCATGCCCAGTGCCTACCAGTAGTCTGGAGAGCAGCCAGAGACCCTGCAACCAGCTTTGATTTTACTGTAAGAAAAACCAACCAACCACCCTGTAGAGGGCCTCCTGGGAAGGCACCTGGGCATTCTTTTAACTGTTGCCAGCTGAGACAGAGACTGGCAGAACTGAGGCTCCGATGCACATTTCCCCAAGATGGTGGGAAGTGTAATCAGCTTGGCCTTCCTATCAGCCCAGGTGTCCGCAGGGGCAGGTCCAGATATGTAAATCCAGGCATCCTGGAGCCTACTTAAGAATGCAAATAAGTTGTGCTGGGACTGGTTTGACTCAATGGATACAGCGTTGGCTTGGGGACTGAAAGGTCCCGGTTCGATTCCGGTCAAGGGCATGTACCCTGGTTGCGGGCATATCCCCAGTAGGGGGTGTGCAAGAGGCAGCTGATCGATGACTCTCTCTCATCGATGTTTCTGACTCTCTATCTCTCTCCCTTCCTCTCTGTACAAAATCAATAAAATATATATATATAAAAAAGAATGTAAATAAGTTGTGATAACCCCCTGATATGGGGGTATAAAATAAATGTGCGGGGAGGGTTGTAGTCTTCCTGCCTCTCCAGTGGACAGGATGGTGGCCCACCCAGCTCCAAGCTTAAAATCTATCTCTGTGTCTTCTCTCTCTATTTCTAATATTTCTCAATCCCTGGCCGGCTCCACTTAGATCCAGTTCGTTCATCTCTCTTTCCCTGCACCAACCTGCTCTCTCCTGCTCCTGCCCCCATGAAGATACTCGGTTAATAAGAGACCAACATCCCTGGGGACAGGGGACAGGATTGAACCCCAAGTTTGATTTCTGTGTGAGACTCGGATCAGGATCAGCATCTGCCCAAAGGCATGGCGTCCTCAGGAAATGACCTCACAATGCAGGAAGCACCTCCACCTGCAAAGCACTCTCTCTGCTGCCTCATCTGCTTCAAAAGCACTGGGCACAGCCTCAGGGCCCAGGAGGGGGAAGTTAAGAGAGTTCGGGCACATCTCTAAGATGGAAGGTTAAATCTATAATTAAAATTAACTTTAGTTTAAAATTGTAAACTTTTACGTTTTTCATTTTAAAAGCGTCATTAAAAATTACATAACAGTGTTCTAATGAGTTGTTTGAGTCTTAAGTAAAAAAGAAAAGCAGGGCCAAAACCGGTTTGGCTCAGTGGTAGAGCGTCGGTCTGTGGACTGAAGGGTCCCAGGTTCGATTCCAGTCAAGGGCATGTACCTTGGTTGCGGGCACATCCCCGGTGGGGAGTGTGCAGGAGGCAGCTGGTCGATGTTTCTCTCTCAACGATGTTTCTAGCTCTCTATCCCTCTCCCTTCCTCTCTGTAAGAAAAATCAATAAAATATTTTTTAAGAAAAAAGAAAAGAAAAAAAGAAATGCAGGGTATGAACTTGTAGCAGTTAGTAATGATGAAGTTATAAAAACTCACCGCACCTACAAAAGAAAGGGCAAGTGAGATGCTGAAATCATACCTTGGAGCTGGGTAGAATTAAGGAATTGTTTGCTGCACTTTACCATTAGCCTGAACAGTCGCAAGCATGTCAAACTCGCTGGTGGGCCACATGCCTTGTGCTGGCCACGAGTTTGACATGCTTGGTCTTGCATTGAGAAGAATGATCTGTAAAGGGCGGGCCTTAGAGGTCAGTTGGTAACATCTGACAGGAGGCCGCAGCTCCCGTGTCAGTCACTCATGCAGGACCGTTTTCCCCTCTCTCCTGTCCCCTAGGTGAAGTCCCAGCTGGAGGAGAAGGTAAACAAGAAGTATCCCACTTTCAAGGCCACGGAGTACATGAGCCAGCTGGTCGCGGGGACTAACTACTTCATCAAGGTGGAGTGTCCACTATTGGGGAGTTCATGCAGACCTGGGGGGAGGGAGGACCTATAGGGGCCAGGACAGGGGTGCTTAAGGAGCTTCCTGTAGCCCTGGCTGGTGTCGCTCAACAGATAGAGCATCAGCCTGCACACCTAAGGGTCTCAGGTTTGATTCCCGGTCAAGGGCTGGTACCTGGATTGCAGGTTCGATCCCTGGCCTCAGTTGGGATGCATGAGGCTGTGTCTCTCTCACATCGATATCTCTCTCCCTCTCTCTTTCTCTCTAAAAATTAATACAAATGTTTTTAAACGAATAAAATAAATGAGTGTGCATGAACTCCTTGGAGGAGAGGACTGAGCCTTTCAGGCAACTGAGGGGTCTGAGGAGTGAATGTAGCGTGCCCAGGGTGCTGGTCGGGGTGATGGGTGTCCACTGCGCCTGAAGGAGGAAGATGAGAATGTCCCCACCCTAGCTGCTGATGCCCTGAAGGGACCCGGCCTCCAGGCTCTCAGGGCCTTTGTCACGCAGCCCTCCAGGCACGGGGACTTGGGGTCAGAGGCAGCACCTGCCCCCCTCACTTGACTCTCTTTGCAGGTTCAAGTTGCAGATGATGAATTCGTGCACATCCGCGTGTATGAGAGCCTCCCTCACGAAAACAAGGCCTTGGCCCTGCACGACTATCAGACCAACAAGACCAAGCAGGACGAGCTGACCTACTTCTAGTTCTGGGTCTTGAACTGAACCTTCGCCATGTGGTTCTCTGCCACGTGGTCGAGTGCCGGGGTCCTAAATGAGCGGTGTCTCTGTGCCGCTCTGCGCCAATCTGGCTTCTCTGCTTCTGACTGAAATAGCGTGATTTTCCTCCCAATCAGTGATCTTAACGGAATTGCTTTCCAAGAGGGCTTAGGTGATCTCTAAATAAATACATTTTTAAGTTTTTGCAAAATTCCTGTGTCGTGGATTTTTTTTTCTTCATCTGAAACCATAACCACCATATTCACAGCCACATGCCAGCCTGAGCCAGCTGAGGCCCCTCCACCTGAGGAGGAGAGCCCAACGGGGTTGCCCCAGGTCCCAGCAAGTGGGTAGAAGACCCAGGGCCCCAGGAGTCTGTTCCAACTACAGCTCTGCACCCCGCTGCCTGGACTCTGCACCCTGTCTCCGGGCCTGGGTTGTCCCCCATAAGTAAAAATTTTCGAGTAAACCTGATTCTTGACTGTGAGTTCGACATGTGCTCAGACATGTGCTCAGACAGTCACACTGTGTTTCCATAGCAGCGGTCACAGGGCAGGGACAAAGGGTTGCGCACACCGGCTGCCCTGAGCACTAGTGGAGGCTGTGTGGCGCCTGTTATAACCTGGAGCATCTGGGAGGGCCTGCCTGTTTCAGCAGGGGTCCTGCCCACCCGTGCGGTCAGTACCTGGTTGGCTTGCCCCATGTTTGTGTGAAATAGAATTAAAGAGTGCCCCTGACAGCATAGGGTTAATGACAGTTGGGTGATATTTCTTTTTTTCACTTCTTATTAAGGTATTACATATTTGTCCTCATTCCCCCATTCCCATTCCCCATCCATCCCCACGCATGTCCCCATCCCCCTGTTGTCCTCGACCACTGGTTAGGCTCATATGTATGCACTCAAGTCCTTTGGTTGATCTCTCCCCTTCGTCCCCACCCTCCCCTACACTCCCTGTGAGGTCCGACAGTCTGATCCATGCCTCCTTGTCACTATCTATGGGTCTATTCTTGTTCATCATTTCCCCTAGATGAGTGAGATCATGTCCTACTGGAAATACACTTGCAAGAACTGAAAATGAGACAAGCAATAATGGTTATGAGTTTGGCGAAATTTCTATCTGTGTCACTCAGGGTCGAAGTAGAATACAATGAGTGGCCAGATTATTATGATCTCTGAATGCATAATAATCTGTCCACTCCATGTATATCCTATATAATAAAAGGCTTATATGCAAATTGTCCCCTTGAACAGGAGTTTGACCAGCAGGTAGGCTGGCCAACCCTTCATGTCCCCTCCCCCTGGCCAGGCTGGGGGAGGGGACATGAAGGGTGTGTGTTCAGTGCATGAATTCATGCGTGAATTCATGCACTGAACACACACTGAGTGGCCAGATTATTATGACCACCCCATCAGTACTTCGTTGGTCCACCTTTTTCCTTCAGTACTGCGGTGATTCTTCTTGGCATTAACTCCTCAAGATGTTGAAAGGTGATGTGAAGAATCTGACACAGTACCTGATGAATAGCCCTGTCCAGTCTGTGAGATTTGATGGTTGTGGAACCAGCTGCCTGATGGTTCTTTTAACTTTGTCCCACAAATGCTCAATTGGATGGAGATCTGGTGATTGTAGGGGCCACCTAAGCAAGGTAAAGTCTCCCTCATGTTCTTGAAACCACTCATGCACAATATGAGCACCGTGGCATGGCACATTATCTTGTTGGAAGAAGCCATCTCCATTGGGATACGCCATCCACATAACAGAATGAACTTGATCAGCAATGATACTTAGGTATGGTATTCAGACATTGTTCCACACGAATTAAAGGGCTCAAATCATGCCAGGAAAACATGCCCCAAACCATAACACTGCCCCCACCAACTTGAAGGGTTGTACTCATGCATGTGGGGGGCATGCTTTCATGCTGTTTCCGCGAAATTCTCACTCTGCCATCTGCATGATGCAATGGAAACGTGATTCATCGGACCACGTAACTTTTTTCTAATGCTCAACTGTCCAATCCTTGTGTTCCTGTGCGAATTAGAGACGTTTTATCTTGGTGACTGCAGACAGCAAAGGTGTTCGAACAGGCCTTCGGCTTCCATATCCCATACAATGCCGTGTACAATTTGCCTACAAACCTCAGGTGGTCATAATAATCTGGCCACTCAGTGTGTGTTCCTGAGGGTTAGTGTCAGTCTGACATTCCTGAGCCCCTCTTGGCTCCCCTGGGGCATGTGGCGATTTGTGCCACAGTCAGGCTGTCTGTGTCCTAGGTCACCAGGAGCATGGAAGGGCGGGACGGTGAGCATGCGGAGCCTGGAGAGCAGCAGTGAGCAATCTCTGCATAGTGAGCTGTGTGTGTCTGCCGAGAACCAATTTCAGCGTGTAATTAATGACAAGAGTTTTTCCAAAGGGTGGGTGAAGCTTGGGGAGCTCAACAGGGTTGAGTCACATGTAGTTTACCTAAGGGCTAAACGGCACTTCCCCCAAACCTGAATATGATGGTTTTTAACTGCCAGACAGCTTAGGGCATTTTATTGCCTCTTTTGGCCAAACACCTGAACAAGCAGTAGGCTATTCCCCAAAGTGACAATCCCTGTAAACCCTTTGATACCATATCCTTTGAAGTGTATATTTCCACCTTGCCTTGGGACAAATTGTGTTTCATAAAAGCAGGGTCCTTCATTAAGGAGGAGTGTCTTCTGGCTCCTTTAGCTGGAAGCTCCTCTGACCCCCAATGCCTTCCAAAAATATCTTTCATTCACGGACTCCTTCTTAATCATCTATGGTACGTGCAGCCCTTTCTCCAGAACGCTGAACCCTTTGTAAGGCTGGGGGAAAAGAACCCCGGCATGCATCCCCGTCCCTCCATGAGCTGGAATAATAAAGCTTTCATGACACCCTCATGCATTGAACAGAGAACCGAACACAGTTCCCACCTGGGGACTTTCTGGGACCGGCGGGGGAGATGGCATTCAGGGTGCTAAGCAGAGCTGACAGCCATGCCCTGCTCTGCCTGATTAGTGAGGGATTGCTTCATGGCTGTGGGTTGTGCCAGGGCAACAAGGCATCTGTGACAGGAAAGAGGTGACAGTTACACATGCTGGGAGGTGCAAATGCCTGAGCTGTGCAGTTGAAGATACTTAGGTGTACTTCCTGTGAATTTCACCTCACTAAAACCAGCACCAGGCAGTAAGCCAGAGCTAGTCTGGGGGAACCCTTTGGCAGAGGATTTGGGGAACAAATGCTGGGCTTGAGCTCTTCCATCTGCCTACCAAGTCCAGCCTCTCCTCTGCCCACCCTGGGCTCTGGGTGCTGACCTGTGGGGACACTTGCCCTTGGTTCCCCAGGGACCACCTGGGGTCTCCTGGCAGCAACCTCCCTTCTACAGGATGCCTTTTAGATTCTGGTAGTGGGCCTGAGTTAGTCCTTCAGGCATAGCCTCCCTCCACGTCCCCCTGAGGTGCTGACACCCCATCCCTTTTACTAAGCACTTGAGTCACTGGTCAGTGCCTTCTATTTCCCCGGCACCAAGAAGATAGCGATAAAGGGACCTGCCCACCCTTGAGAGTCACAGGCCCTAATTCTCCAGCTGTCCATGCAGGGACACAATCACAGGACGGTCACAGTGGGTTTGAGAGGCAGAGTCGGGGGCCTTTGTCATAAAGCCTGTTCCTTGGGGATGACCTGAGGATCCATCTACAAAGATGTGGGAGGGCGTATAGTACCTGCTGGGCTAGAGGACCAGAGCTGTCCCCACCCAGGTGTGAAGGAATTGGAACCCAGAAGGGGTAGTGACACCTGATCAATGACCAGGGCTTGTCCTCTAAATCTCGCAGGGGATGAGCCAGGAAAGGGAGCCCCACCCTCCTGATCCCAGGGGGCTGGGGTTGTTGCAGGAACACCACAGTGGGTTGGCAGGGAGGGAACTGGGGCCACAGTGAGCAGGGCAGGGCAGGGCAGGGCAGGGCAGGACAGGTCCCTTCTTTAAGAGGGAGATTTTGCCCAGCCAGCATGGCTCAGCATTTGAACATTGACCTATGAACCAGGAGGTCAGTTTGATTCTTGGTCAGGGCTCATGCCCAGGTTGCAGGCTCCATCCCCAGTGGTAGGGGCATGCAGGAGGCAGTCAATCTATGATTCTCATCATTGGTGGTTCTATCTCTCTCCCTCTTCTTTCCCCTCTCCCTCTCTTTTCTGTGTGTGTGTGTTTACACACACACACACACACACACACACACACACACAAATACACTAGAGGCCCGGTGCACAAAATTCATGCACAGGGGTGTGTCCCTCAGCCCAGCCTGCACCCTCTCACAATTCAGGACTGCTGGCTCCCAACTGCTTGCCTGCCTGCCTTCCTGATTGCCCTAACTGCTTCTGCCTGCCAGCCTGATCACCCCTTAACCATTCCCCTGCCAGCATGGTCACCCCTAACTGCCCTCTCTTGCAGGCTTGATCACTCCCAACTGCCTTCCCTTGCAGGTCTGCCTGGTCCCTCCCACATGAGGACAGGATTTTTGACCACATGGGAGCAGCCATCTTGTGTGTTGGAGTGATGGTCAATCTGCATATTACTCTTTTATTAGATAGGACATGTTTTTTTAAAGAGGGGGATGTTGAGGGGAAAGCGGTGACCATGGCTTGTGACCGCAGTGTAGGCAATGCACGGATGATTAATAAAAGGGAATCCCGTGGAGAAGAATTCCTCATGCTTCACCATGATTGCATGAAAATATTTATTTGTGGAGAATCATAAGTCAACAGGAGCAGCACACAGACAGGCCTCTACAATGGTGAGCTGTTTTACATTTCAGACACGGGCCCCCTCTCCCAGCGGGCGGGGCTGGTCACCGTGGGGCCGATGAGCCACTGACTGAATCTCACAGAGATCGTCCCCTCACAGATGGGCCCGGGCCTGTGCTTTGCTCCCAGGCTGGCCACACCCCGAGCAGCCTCCGGATCCAAGCTCCTCGCCTGGGAGGCCCAGGGCAGCGTGGGCTGGGCTCCCGGTCACAGCTCCGTCCTGCTGGGCCGGTTTTACAATCATTGATTGACATGCCGATCACAACTCCACAATAGCAGGTGCACAGCCAGAAGGTTAGAACATTCAAACCACCCCCGGTCCACACAGAGATGGAGATTCCTTTCCAGTTCCCTAAATGGTAATATTTGCACCTCCATCGCCAGGGCATGGGCTGCAGTGCGGGCTCGGGGGGGTGCCACGGGGAAGGGCTGGCCTTGCTCTCCCAAGGCCGACCTGCAGGCATGATGTCCTGCCATGGCGAGCGTCCCATAGGAAGGAGCTCCTGCCGAACGGGCTTCCCGCCGCACGAAGATCAGAACCTGCCCGCCGTGGCGGAGGGCTGGGACGGAGGCGGGGCGCAGGTTGGGGCTCCAGTCACCCTGACCAGTGGCTGGCAGAAGCCTCGCTGCAGCACAGACTCCGAGGGGCTTGGACAGTGGAAACGCTTTTAAAAGACCCGTCTCCTCTGCCAGCATCTAAAAAGACAACTCTAGGAAGAGCCTCCAGCTCATACAGCTTTAAAAATCCCCTAAATCAGACCTCACAGTATTCACCAAGCTCTGTCTTACCAACAGAATGAACACAATGTGGTGAGCTCAGATCCCGAATGAAAGGCAGGAATGTGGCTTGTAAGACATTGTATTTTAATCTGTTAGAGAAAACACTCTGTACTGAGAATAAAGTGCAGGTACCCACAGGAAGACACATGCGCTACGAGAACCCCGAGCGGCGATGGATGACGCTGGCAGGAGCCTCAGAGCACAATGGGGACACACACACACACACACACACACACGCAGGGTCCCTCCTGGGCATCACCACAGAACGTACAGCCTGACACACTGAAGAAACACTCCCCAGAAGCAGAGCTGATGTTTGCCATCCATCAAGGAGGGGCCCAGACCCTTCCCAGGCCACCACCTTCTCCCTCTGAGCTCGCCATGTCCCCCTGCTGGCAAAGATTGGAAGGGTGTGGCTGGATTCTGAAACCAGAATCTACACCTCCCTTCGCCAGGACAAGGGTCTCTGTAAAAACACAGGCTCTCACATTGTTCTTCTCACCACAACACCTGCCGGCTTCCCGATGCTGCACCCGCCACAAAGCGGCCGCCCGCAGCACACACAACCCGACGCTGCCACAGGCGCCACCCTCGATCCCTGTGCTCACGGGAGAACTGCCGGCAGCAGGGGGTCTCCTGGGGGAAAGACGTCCATCCAGACCAACGGGGCCACAGGTTAAGGCTTCCCTGGCTTCGGGCAATGGGCCTGGCCTCCCAGAGCCACCTTCTCCAGGGCCCGGGGTCCTTCTGAGGGGCCACTCAGCTTGTACACCTGACGCGCTTCCTCCAGGGGCATAGGAGCTGGCTCTCCAGGGAGCCCTAACACAAGAGCCTCAGAGGATGATGGGAAGGGAACCCCAATGTGGCATCAAAACGGGTGGGCCCCACCCCACTGCTCTGTTGGTGGGCACAATGGAGTCCAGGGCCACCTGGCTCCCACCCAGACTCAGAGAGCAGACCTCACTCACACGTCCCCATCTGCACATACTCCACTCTGCTCGATCACAAACTCCCCTCCCCTCCTCCCAGCCCGGGTAGGGACTGGCTGGGGCTCCAGGGAGAGGGGTGGGTGAATGAGGTCCATGGGACTAGATGGGCGGCAGAGAAGGAAGACACGGATTCCTGGCTATTCTCCAATGGAGTACAATACAGTCACACGGCGTCTCTGATTCACACAGGTGTGGACCCGACACCCATTCAGGTATCTGATCCCCTCCAAGGGCAGGAAGGACAAGGAGAGGGCGTGTGCGCAGGGGCGGCCCAGCGGTCAGAACAGGCTTCCCTCCTTTTGTGTACATGTTACCCGAGGAGTGAACACGGGGCTCCCTGGACATCCCGCACTCCCAACACTGACACACCCTCCTCTTACTCAGAGCAGGTGCGCCAGGCCAGGTTCAGGCCATTGGAAAACGGAACATTTTAAAAATCGGTTCTAACAAGTGTAAGAACAGGACGACAAGCGAAGCATCTGGTTTCACAATCACTGACATATATTGCAAAAGGAACGCAGACGAACAGTCACCTCAGCGGGACTTGGCAATGATTTGCGACTGATTCGAAGAGAGAATCATCGTCTGGAATTCATCTTGAAGGTCTACAGGAGGAGGTTTGAAACACTGGAAAGTCTTGAAATCTGCACTCTGACAACAATCTCCCACTTGAACATAAATTACCATCATTGTGCATGTTGCTAAGCTATGCAAAGTAAAAGCAAAGATCAATTCTAATTTGGACCCAATTTGCATCAAAAAGTATTACCAGGAACCAAGGTTGGGAAATTCTACACGTGGGCAGCCCGGGGCCTCTGCCGCCAGCACGGCAGGGAGCGTGTGCGTGTGGAGACGAGCCCAGACAGCAACACGGGCCTGGGGATGCGGGGCCCGGCTTCCCACGGGAGCTCACGTTTCCACAGGAGCCCCGCACGCTGCAGAGGCTCCCAGGCCCCCAAGTCCGTCCTCACAACCCAGCCCGTCTCCGTCTCCTCGGGTTGGGGCCCCCCTGCCTGCTCATGGTCAGGGCTGTACAGCCGAAGGGCAAGCCTCCGGGGGCACTGGAGTCCATGGTCCTGCAGAAGCTTTGGGAGGAACAGATCCCGTCATTCTCTGAAGCATGTGGGAAGTAAGAGAATGAGCCCTCACGTGGGGCCACGCCTCTGAAATAAAACCGAAGAGCTTGCCAGCGAGAGCGTCCCTTCAAGTTCCCGGCACACAAGCAACAAGCCCAGCACCCACACCTGCCTTCCAGGCGGGTTTCGCCATCTCCTGGAGGCAGGCACACCTGGTCCCTTGCCCGGCCCTACAGTGGCTCTCACTATTGAAATAAAAAACAAAACCTTATCGTTGGCCTTTCTCCAGCCCTACTTGGCAGTGGCAGTATTTCCCATTAAATGTGCTGCACACACCCAGGGCCCTGGGTGGCTTGGGCTGGTCCCTGTGAGTGCCATCAGAGAGGCTGCCTCCCATCAGGCTGCGGGCCATTCTTCCTCCTCCTGGTCCTTCGGGCCCTGCAGGGGCCAGGAGGCCGGGCTCTGCCCCGGGGCTCAGAGGAGCCTGGCGCTGGGAACCAGGAGCCAGGGGCACAGCGCCCTGACCCTGTGCACAGCCGTCGCGAGCAGGACAGCGTGTGAGTTAGACATTCAGAAGTCACCGTGGGGAAGGGAGACCGGGCCGTGGTGCGGGAGCTGGACGGAGAGGGGCCTCTCTTCATTCTCGGGCATTTTCTACAAACCGAAGGATGGACTGCCCGGAACCACGGGCACAGGGGCTGGCCTCGGAGAGTTTGCTCTCCTAGGAGTCCACGGGGCCCCACACCCTGTGTCTCCCCTCCAGGCTGTGGGCTCCCAGGCTAGGGGGCAGGGTGTGGAGATCCAGGCAGGCTGAGTCTTCAAGCCTAGGGTATCCCAAAACTCTGGACAAGTGGAGCCAAGGCGGTCACGCTGGCAGTGGACACCTGGACTGGCGTCAGGGCCTAGGGCCCAGCTCTGCGCCCGCACCTGTCCGTGCGCTAACTCCCCGGCGGGGCGCGCTCCTTTCCAGCAGCCGGAGACACGCTATTGTGTCACCAACTCGGCGAGATTTCTGAAAGGAGCCCACATGCCATCTCCCCAATCCCTCGGCAGTCCCTCCCCTGGCATCTCTGCGCCTCGTGCAGCTGGTCCCTGAAGACTCTCGTGGGTTACAGGACGGTCCCGCCGATACTTTGTGGACTTGGATTTTCGGGGTCCTGGAAGGTCCCCGCCAAAGGGACTGTGCACCTCTGTGTGTGTCTGGGCCACCGGACGGGCCTGTCCATGTGGGGAAACAGAGCAGGACATCGGAGATGCCCAAACGACCTACCGAGCAGCGACGTAGGAAACAGAATCCCGACACAGGAGCCAGGAGGGAGAGGTCGGGACGACAAGGAAGGGACTTGGCATAAACCGTCCGCGATGGGAACATCACACTCGTTCTCAGAGACACATAGACACCGGCCCGCCCCGGCCCGGCCACGGGGCACAGGGGGCAACCCTCTGCAGGCAGCAGCCCCTCCCTCCATGCCCCCGCCCCCAGCTGGGGAGGACGCCCCCCAAGGGGGTGACCACAGAGCTGGTGTTCAGGGAGGCCTAGGAGCCTTCGTGGGAAAGGGGGGCTGGGTCTCCAAATTACAGATTTCTGCGATCACTGTGTTATTTGTTAAAAAGCACGACTGGCACGTTTTCACAATTAAGACCAGTGGATGCTGGACACTCACGAAAGGGGAAAAAAATATCAAGTTTCGGTCACAGCTCTAAGGCAGAGACGTTACAAGTTCACAGGGGTGACGACGGAGACGCCGGCGCTGCGCCAGCAGGGGGCGCAGGAGCCCTCACAGCACGGTGGCCTGGACGACGATCTCCGGGTTCTCGATGTCCCTTTTGCTCTGGACCATCCTCAGCTCCAGCATGGCCGGGCTGGGCTTCTGTCCTTCCCCAGCCTGGGCTGCAGAACAGACAGTGCGTGAGCATCGGGGCGGAGCGGGGAGACCGCCTCGGAGTTGCCCGTCGGAGGGAGCCCCGGGCTGCAGCCCTCTGCCCCTGTTCCTAAAGGCCAGGCCAGGGGGATGGCGGGAGCCCCGGGGACCCCACTCACGGCTGCGCAGGTGCCACCTCTCCCCCTCCCACCGCCCTGTCTGAGGCCCCAAAGCGGGAGGCTCTCGGGATCTCGGAGGCACCCAGGGCCCGCGGTCGTACCTTTCGCACACTTGATGGTCCGCTGCAGAACGTGGTGCATGGCTGACACGGTCTTCTCACAGGCCACCTGCGGGGAGGGGGACCACTGTGCCTGGCCACCTCGAGACCGTCCGCTCACCGTGCTGCCCACAGCTGCCTGCGAGGGCACTCTCTCCACCCTGAGTCACCAGGGCGCTGGCTTGGCCAGCACATGCTCCCCCAACTAGCTGGGCCTTTTCCTCAGAGAATAAGAGAGCTAAGCAGGTGCCTGCATCACCGACCTGCCCCCTCTGGACCAGATGGCTCTGGGGAGGGGCTGAGACGCAGGGCCGTCCATACTGCCTGGCACATAGTAGATGCTTAGCAAGTGTCTCTGGGATGAACTAAGTATAAACACTCTACACGGGAAAGAACTTGTGCCCCGAGGTCGGCCAAGGTCATTGCTCACAGCCTAAGCCTCCCAGTCAGACTTGGGGCTCTGCAGGTGCCAGGGAAGCAAACAGGGACTGCCTGTCCGACTCCGGGGCCCAGCGCCCCTCCTAAACCAACTCAGCCTTCGGAGGCCCAGCAGCGAGCCCTCCTCCGGGCACCACGATGCCACTGCCCTGCAGATGGAGCTCCCGCTGCTGCCAATTAGGCTGGCAGGTCTGCACTCTCAGCAGGCTGGCCTTCGGGGGAAGTGGGGGCAGGAGGGTATGAAACCAGCCAGGGGATGGCACATTTTGGCTTCGATGGGTGAGAGGGGAGAAACCCCAGGCAAGCCTTGCATTGCACAAACACAGAGCCCAGCTGGGGTCCCTCCAGGGGTTCTGCCGACAGCCTGAGAGGCGTCGTTTCCAGATCCCGAGCTCCGAATTCTTTCCTCGAGGGGACCCCACACGACAGAAATCTGCCCTTCCCACATTCAGGTTCCTGATGGAGCACAGGCCTGGTTGCCAGCTGATGGGGCATCGGACAGAACAATATGACAGCAGGGGGTCAAAGAGCACGCCTGGGAGCCCTGAGCTGGACCACAGGGTGCACAGGAAACCCCCGCACCCCAATTTACCAAACCAGCCCAGTGACCGCATTGGAGGACACACGCGCACTGACTGCTCTGCTGACGGAGGCTCCCGTCAGCACACCGAGGCGGCACACCTCATTCCTGAGCCAGAGCCTCAGATTTCTGCTGACACAGCCTCCCTGCGCTGGGCCTGGCACCCTGCTTGGGAACCAGAGCGAGAGACGCTGAGCAGGGATGGGGCTGTGACTCAGCCGGCTGCGGGGCAGGACGTGGAAACCAAAGCTACGAAACCCTCACACCCTCCGCGCTCCGGAGGGACATGACCACTCCCCACAGAGATGAAGGGGTCAACGGGGCAGGAGGGGCGTGCCCTGCTGACCTTGAGGTTGTTGGGGTGCTTGTGCGTCCACGCCAGGAGCATGGCGGCGAACAGGTCCCCGGTGCCCACGAACACGGCGTCCACCTTGTGGATGTCCATGCGGATGCGCTCCTTCGCCACGGAGCCATCGGGGTGCCCTGGGGGACAGCATGGCCCGCTGGGACCCCCGACCCTCACCAGCGGAGGGCCAGCCCAGGGCCCCAGCCTGCCCTCCTGCCCGCTCAGCCCCTGCACTGCTCAGGGCACCCCCGGAAGGGTCATGTCACCCACGGAGGCTCACTCCGACTGACCCCCGGGCTCAGGGTCCCCCCCTCGGTGCTCCAAAACCCCACAGCGGAGAAAGGAAAAGATGGGAGCCCCAGCTGGCCACAGTCAGGGCGGCATGGGGGGACTGTGCAGCTGATGAGGGGCCGGATGGTGTGCTCTGTGGAGGGAGCCTGCGTAACCACGGCGCCTGGAGCTGTCAGGACCATGTGAACTTACTGGCGTGTGTGAGCATGTGTGCAAGTGGGAGTGAGCTTGTGAATGAGCATGTGCAAGTGTGTGAGTGCGTGTGTGAGTGTGTGGGCTCCTGCACACAGTGCAGAGGGAGAGGAGGGACCATGTGAACTTACTGATGTGTGAGTATGTATGCAAGCGGGAGTGAGCTTGTGAATGAGCATGTGCAAGTGTGTGAGTGCGTGTGTGAGTGTGTGGGCTCTTGCACACAGTGCAGAGGGAGAGGAGGGACCATGTGAACTTACTGACGTGTGAGTATGTGTGCAAGCGGGAGTGAGCTTGTGAATGAGCATGTGCAAGTGTGTGAGTGCGTGGGCTCCGGCACACAGTGCAGAGGGAGCAAGGGGACGCTGCTCTCAGGGGCAGTGGGGGTGACCAGCCCCGTGTCGGGTTAGCGCTGAGCAGGCACACCACCTGGCGGCACTCGCAGGAGGAATCAATGAGCAAGCAGAGCTCGAAGTGAGGTCGGCCCAGCCCAGCTCTGGGCGGTCAGGTGTGTGGACCCCTGGTTCCCCGAGAGCCTGGCTCCGGCGGGGCTGTTCCCTGTGACCCAGAGGTGAGTCAGCACGCTATCCTCATGCTGCCGGCCCATCATGCTGCTGGGCTGGAGGGCTGCTGGGCGGCCATGGGGCGGTGGCAGCTCCCCAGGCTCCCCTGCCCCTGATTCCTGGGTTCCTTCCTCATTTTTAGTCTCATCTGTCTCAGGATTGGGGATGGGGGTGACTGGACTTCAGGAAATTCCAAACCTTCTCAGAAGCCTCAAGGGGCGTGCGGAGCAAAGGTGTGAAAGGGAGCTCAGTGCCGGGTACAGTGGGGTGGGGCGGGCATGTACAATCAGGCAGTCACTACCCCAACGGGAAGGGGGCTCAGTGCTGGGGTGCGGCAGGGCGGGGCAGCTGGGACTCACGGACCCTCTGGCTTCCCAGCACAATCAGGTAGTCACTGCCCCGCAGGGAAGGGGGCTCAGTGCTGGGGTGGGGCAGGGAGGGGTGGGGCGGGCATGGGACTCGGGAATGCACAATCAGATAGTCACTACCCCAAGGGGAAGGGGGCTCATGCTGGGGAGGGGCAGGGCGGGGCGGTGGGACTCACGGATCCTCTGGCTTCCCAGCACAATCAGGTAGTCACTGCCCCGCGGGGAAGAGAGGTCGGAGCTGGTGATGACCACGGTGTCGGGGCCCATCGAGTGCAGCACGTCCATCACCTGCCAGGCACAGGGAGCCATCAGCCAGGGAGCTCCCGGAGCCGTCACTCCTGCCCCTCCCCCTGAGCCACAGTCACGGTCAGCGGCACTCACACCCCCACGCGCTCTGCCAGGGTTTGGCTTAAGGGAGGGAAGAGTTTGAGGACCGGAACCCACCGACTGGCCCCTGCCCGCCCAGTGACGGCTTTGCCAGGTGAGAGCTACCGTCCCCTTTCGATCGGCTTGAAGTCTGAGGTCACGCACCTGTCAGCCCCCGTCTGCACCCTACAGGTGCCCACCTTCTGCAGGAAGGTGCCAACCAGCTGAGCCAGTTGTCCTTCCTCATCTGGGCTCCACACACAGCGAACACCACGCAATGCTGGGCTCCCACCTCCTGTCCGCTCTGGGAAGCCACTCACGCCCTCGCTTATTTAGTCAACAAACATCCACTGATGTGTGTCCGGCAGCGGCTGGGGGCTGGAGGCTCCCTGCCCTCAGGGCACAGGCCTTGCGACAGAATACCCACTGAGGTCCACTCGGGCCTCAGGAAAGTGAACCAGCTGAACCGAGCAGGGGCCAGGCCTGGAGAGACCTGGGCGGAGGCATGAGGGGCATCAGCTGCCTCCCGTGGGCAGCGCCAGCCAGCGGAGCCGCACCATCTTATGGGGGCCCCCGGAGGGCCTGGGAAGGTTCCCGTGCAGACCATGAATGGTGCACACACATTCGGAACTTCTCGAGCCGGGGACCAGTAGGGACTCTAAGACACAGGCTAGGATTCAGCTCTTCCCGTCACAGCCCAGCAGCCGCGTCCCTCCTCTCTCAGCCTGGGGCCTCGGCTGGGGGTCACAGAGCCACGAGGCGCGGCCAGTCTTTACCTGGGCTTTTCTCTAAGAGTTGGAGGAGGCCATGTCTGCCTTGGACAGCTGCCTCAAAGCAGTGCCTGTGATCATGTGAGTGGGCACTCCTTGCTCTAGAGCTGAGGGTGGGCGTGGGAGACGTGTCCCCCCCCTCACACACATACATGCACACACGTGCACACAGGGGACAGGCCAGCTACCCCCCCTCCCTGTCCCAGGCACTGTGGATTTCCTCTAGTCCTCAAGCAAGGGGTGCCTGTACCCATGCCCATCCCATTCCCACCCAGGTCATCTGACTCGGAGGCCCCGGAGTGGGAGAACAGGGCCTCCTGCAGGAGCAGAGCAGACAGCGGGTTAACCCAAACCTGGCCAGCCTGAAGCTGCACGTGACCAATGGGGTGAGAAAGGAAACCGACAGTGCATCCTCCTGGCCCTCAGGCTAGGCCAGTGGTCGGCAAACTCACTAGTCAATAGAGCCAAATACCAACAGTACAGCGATTGAAATTTCTTTGAGAGCTAAATTTTTTAAACTTAAACTTCTTCTAACTCCACTTCTTCAAAATAGACTCGCCCAGGCCGTGGTATTTTGTGGAAGAGCCACACTCAAGGGGCCAAAGAGCCGCATGTGGCTCTCGAGCCGCAGTTTGCCGACCCCGGGGCTAGGTGACAGGCAGCCGGACGCTGGCCCCTGGGGGTGTCTGTCTCCCATCTCCACAGGAGTGGTGTCCCCTCCCCAGGGGACAGGCCGCCTGTCCCTCTGAGGACTGGGGAGGTGTCCTTACCACTAAGGCTTCCTCCTGGCTGTGGATCTTCCTGCCCGTCAGCAACCTGAAAGGCGGGCGCGCACAGGTGAGACGCTGCTTGCTGGGTCCTGCCCAGAACGTCCTCAAAGCGACAGCGGCACTGGTATCCTCCCCACTCCCCCTCCCAATCCCCACAGGGAATTAACTCAGAGCCTGTTGGCCATCACAGACCAAGTGGCCACCATGATGAGTTTGGGGACCGGTCAAGAGTAAACTTTAGGCCCGGCCGGGATGGTTCAGTGGTTGGGCATCCACCTATGAACCAGGAGGTCATGGTCAGGGCACATGCCCATGTTGTGGGCTCAATCCCCATGAGGGGGTGTGCAGGAGGCAGCCGATCAATGATTCTCTCAATTATTGATGCTTCTATCTTTTTCTGCTTCTGCCTTCCTCTCTGAAATCAATTAAAAAAAATTTTTTTTTAAAAAGTCAACTTTAGTTTTAAACAGGAACTCACACATCAGGGTGTGCTGAAGCTCCAGACGGTGGTGAATGTGTACAGGTAACACCATAAAGGACAGCAGCACACGGCCCCTCAGGGGCCCGCGCCATGGCACACGGGGCCAGCAGCATCCACAGTCACAGCTGCCAGTGGCTCGTGTGCACATTCACGGGACCCACCAAAGGCCAAGGCCCTCAGGGCGATGGGCAGGCCTGGCTCAGGGGAACCCGAGAGTCCGGAGTCCCCCCACTCCCACTTTAAGGAGTGGCCTCGAAGACAGAGGGGACCAAGCTGATGGTCCACCAGAGCCAATCGTCACCCTCTGGGCACTTGGCTGCACACCATGGCGCCAGGAAACGCCCCTTACACCCTTGGTGCTGGGTTCTTCAGTGCATGAGGTGGAGCCCTTTGACAGTGGGCAGAGGGGACGGCACACGCCTTCCCACCTCATGTTCCGATCTGGGGAGTGGGTTCCAGAGCTCAGGGTGACTGCCCATGTCAGCTGCGTGCACTCCCTCCGTGTGGCAGCCACCTGCCAGAGCCACATGTCCCTTTCTAAAGGCTACTGCTGACGGCCAGAAAGCAGCCGGCCCGGCCCTGAGCACGTCACCCCAGCACTCAGTGGGGCAGGTGGCTCCGACTCGGGAAGGCCTGCCCCACCCCGGAGCCCGATTCCACTCCTCCGAGGCAGAACACTTCCTGCACCCTGTCTGTCCCCGTGGGGCGGTTGGCACGCTCTGGCCGTTTCTAGTCACTTACTCCGCCTCGAACTGGTTGGGAGTTATGATGTCTGCCACCGGCACCACCTTCTCCTTATACACAGGAAGGAGATCCTCGGGAACGTACTGAAGGCAGAGGAGAGAGGGACAGGCTGACCCACATGGAGGAGGAGACAAGACCGGGACGTCCGAGTCCAGTTCGGGGACCCCACGTGAGCCCGGGCTCCCCACAGCGGAGACAGGCAGCGTGTGGTGACCCAGAGAGCTCCCCACAGGGACAGAGAGCCCCGGCCCGTCCCCTGACTGTCTGTGTACGGCTCAGGGGCCGAGTGAAATTTTAACATGTTTTTAATAGTTGGGGCAATGTCCAAAGAAGAGTCACACGCCATGACACATGGAAATGACAGAACATTCAGAGCTGTGTCCCATGCATGAAATTTTACCAGAAAACAGCCACATCCATTGGTCTGCAAACTGGCTACTTTGATATCAACTTGGGCCCTAAGATACCGACTCTCTGGCCCTTTTATGGGAAACCTCTCTGCCAGCCCTGCTCGCTCAGACGGAGGCCCCGCCTCCCCCAGGGCAGATCAGTGGTCGGTGTCCTGCTTTAGCTGCGCTCCCTGCACCCACACCGGCGTGACGTACTCACCATGGAGCCTTCGCCCTCCCACTTGTCGCCCATCACCGGGTCGCACACTGCGGAGACACAAAGGGCATCGGGTCAGCCAGGGCTGCAGCCGGGGAACAGAGAGCCTTTCGCGGGACTTTTTTACTTTCTTAATCCTCCCTCGAGGATATTTTCCCATTGATTTTTAGAGAGTGGTAGGGAGGGGGAGAGACAGACAGAGAAACATTGATGGGAGACACATAGTTTGATGGCTTCCCACACATGTCCCGCCTGGGGTCAGGGATCCAGCCTGCAACCCAGGTACGTGCTCTTGGCCAACACAATCGAACCCGGGACCCTTCAGTCCTCGGGTCAACGCTCTATCCACTGAGCCAAACCGGCCAAGGCCTTTCACATGGTATCTGTTGTTAAACTTCACCTGCACCTAAAAGCTTGGGGAAGCTGCCCTGGCTGGTTTGGCTCAATGGATAGGGCGTCTGCCTACAGACCGAAAGGTCCCAGGTTTGATTCCGGTCAAGGGCACATGCCTGGGTGACGGGCTCGATCCCCAGTAGGGGGCGTGCAGGAGGCAGCCGGTCAATGATTATCTCTCATCATTGTTGTTTCTATCTCTCTCTCTCCCTCACCCTTTCTCTCTGAAATCAATAAAAATATATTTTAAAACTAATAATAATGAAATAAATAAATAATAGCTTGGGGAAGCACGGACTCCCGTTCTCATTCGCTCATTACCTGGAATTTCCCACTTGGTCATCCGGGCCACCTGGGGTGCCCATCCACCCCCACCCCTCTCAGGCTGGGGGCATCACAGACCTCAGATGCGGTGACCGTGGCACACTGGCACTGATAGAGCCAGTTTACAACCTGCCTGACTCCCCATGAAGACGCCAGGTTCCTGGTGAAGGTGTTTCCCGCCCCTCTGAGCTCAGTGGGAACCGGCTGGGAGGCGGGCCATGGCGTTGGGATGCGAGAGGGAGCCTTACCCCCATGCACAGGCTCCAGGAGCCCCCTCTCCCCCCTCCAGCAGGTGACAGTCCGGCGCCTACCATACACCAGCCGGGAGTTCTGCTGCTTCAGCTCCCGCACGATGTCCACCACCATGGCCAGGAAGGACTTGTCCCTCGTGTACCCTGTGGGAGGGAGAGCGGCCACCCTCACAAAACAAGGCTCCAGCAACGACCGCGGCAAAGGGAGACAGAGCATCCTGCGCTGGGGAAGACCAAGGGCCCCCACAAAGGCAGCCGAGAGGTCACCGGCACCTCCCCAGAGGAGAAGGCCTCGGTGATGGGTGCACAGGGGATGTTCTCTGTCCTGTCCATTCCAATAGCGAACGCATTCACTTTTAACCACGTATATAAACACAAACGGTACTTTTTTTAAACCAAGGAAGTGGGTATAAATAAGACCAACATACCAGGCGGCAGAGTGTTGCCTACTTGGGCGTTTCACCCCAACTTCTTCCCAACACCCCACTTGGCCCCACCCCACGCGCACTGCAACCCCCCTGTGGGCCGGGCAGTGTGACTTGGCGTGGACAGGACCAGGCGCTCGGTGGCAGGCAGGTCCCTCCTCGAAGGAGGTAGGGACCAGAGACCAGCCGGGCGTGGGGTGCGCTGGGACCTCCCGGGTCCATCCCGGCTGCAGCCAGGCTGGCAGGTACAGCGCCTGCTCTCTCGGGCCCTTACCCGTGAGCACGTAGTCATACTTGTTCACGTTGTTCAGCTTCAGCCCCTCGTACACCTCGTGGAGCTCGTCTGCATTCAGCACCTGGCCCTTCCAGTGTGCGTAGCCTGGGGAGAGCAGAGCGGTCAGGGCCCGGGCACACGGCACACGACATACAGCACATGGCACACAGCACACGAGTGAGACAGCTCCACCTGATGGCCCAGCACAGCCCAGACACCCTCGATGACGCTGGTGGGATGGATGATGCCCTCCCTAGCGGCTGAAGCGGGGGCCTGGTGTCTCAGTGAGCTGGTCCCTGTGGGTGCCCAGCAGCCTCAGAGCGCCTCTGACAGCACCCTGGCTGACACCGTCTGTGGTTATTCCTGGCATCAGGGGTCACACCTCCCACCGCCAGCTCCCTCTGGAGTGAATCCAAGGCAGCGAGGGCATCAGCTCTCCGGGCCGGCCACGGACACCTGTGGAACCCGTGTCCTGTGACAGGATGGGGAGAGGGACACTCCGAAAAGGACACATGGGGCTCACACAACGGGCCACTTCTCCTGCCTTTCGAGGGGGCCCCTGGGACATCTCCCCACACGTCACAGTCACCTGCTTTGCCAGCTTCTACTGAGCACGTTTCCCCATCCAGGCTGAGCTGTTTGATTGCTGTTATCTGGGCACCCTGGCAGGTAAGGGCTTGTCACATCCCAGTTCCAAACACGCCCCCCCCACACCGCCATGTAAGGTTGGAATGCGGCCAGAGCAAGTCTTGGCTCAAATCGTGACCAAGAGCCAAACATGGATTAGAAATGGGCCCAGGTGCTCAGCCTGCTCCCGTCCCCGACAGGTACGCAGGTGCAGACAGACACGTGAGCATTCTGAGGGGACCCACCTGCCATGTGGAGCCCTTGCCCACAGAGGCTCAGATGGGGACAGGCCAAGGACTCCCAGTTCACCAGGGGCAGGGCCACGCCATGGACACCCCACCCTTCACCCATGAGCATTCCTCCTGGAGTCTTTTATGGCAGTGGGAGGCCCTAAAGTCTGTGCTTCCAAGCACGTAAGTAAAAACCATGGGAGAGTTACCCCTGCGACCCTCCGCATGGACCACCTGGTGGCGATCTGGGCGAACTCAGACAGCCCACAGCCAGGCTGCTCAGCCTGGAGGAGGAGAAGGGCGACGGCGCCCTCTGCTGGCAGCCTGTGTGCATGAGCAGGAGTCAACCTGATTCTGGAACAATTCCAACTGTCAAAGCGATTCTGCAGGCAGCGTGGCCCTGGGACACCCAGCTGGGGCAAATGCGCTTCTACATGTTCCTGTGTTATTCACGCTGGTGAATGACACAGGAGAGTGAGTCTGTCAGTAGAAGCACCTGATTGGCCCCCTTCATCAGAGCCCCTCGGGGTCAGCAGGGTCAGGAGGGCCAGGCAGGGCCAGCCCAAGAGCTCCCAGTGCAGGACTGCCCCCAGCGGCGCTCATGTTCAAATGCTGGCAGCCTCTGGCTGTGTCCCGGGCAGGTGTTTGCCCAAGGAAGGCTGGGCTGCCACAAGAGTGCTGCCGGCCCAGAGTGGGAAGAACAGTCCTTCCTGCCCCTCCGTTTTCCTAACCCCCTTCCGACCAGGGTTGGTTTATTGCCACTGCACGAGTAGCATATTCGAGTCCTGCTGAGACAAAGTTCCACAGACGGGGCGACTCCCACACAGTCCTGGAGGCTGGAGGCCAAGGTCCAGGTGTGGGCGGGGCTGGTCCCTCCCAAGGCCTCTCTCCTGGGATTAGATGACCCCTTTCCCTGTGTCCACACATGGCTGTCCCTCTATGCTTGTCTGTGTCCTAATCTCTTTGTATGGGGACGACCATCATGCTGGAGTAGGACCCATCCCAATGACCTCATTTAACCTTATCACCTCTACACATCCCATCTCCAAATACAGTCCTTCTCTGAGGTGCTGGAGGTTAAGGCTTCAACACATGAATTGGAGGGGACACAATTCAGCCCATCGGAGCAGTGATGAGGGGGAGGCACACAGCCCCCCACCAGGCCTCAGACGCCGGGCTCCACGGCAGAGCACGGCCTCTGTGAGACCAGCTTGCTAACCACACTGTGGCCTGAGCACTAGCTCCTGGGCCTCAGGTGCCAGGTGCCACGTGCCACACTACCTACCACAGGGAGTGGGTCTGAGGACCAGACCAGCCTCACTTCTGAGCAGCAGGGCATGGGCAGGGGTGAGGGGAAGAGAGATGGGCTCGGGGCAAGGCGAGGCATCACCTGGCTACTCCAGGTCGACGGGTTGGCACCTGAGCCCCAGAGGGGACCTTGGGGAGACCTCCCCCTGTAGGCCCTCTGATGAGGCTGCAGAGACAGAGTGCTCAGAGTCACCCACAGGGGGAGCTGTCTGGGGGATCTCTAGCCAGGAAGGCCCCACAGGGCATCGAAGGCTGGATGGGATGCAGGAGGCTCTTTTCTGTGGGCGAGGAGGCGCATCCGGGAGCCAGAGGGGTGCCTCCCTGAGAGAGAAGCCCCATCCAGGCCCTACCCATGCCTGCACCTGTGGAGGCTCTAAGGCTTTTGGCGGGACAGACCCGATTTTTAACAATTTGTCCGGCGGCATTTTATTTTTTATTTTTGTTTTTTTAATTTTTAAAAAATATATATTTTGCCGAAACCTGTTTGGCTCAGCGGTAGAGCGTCGGTCTGCGGACTGAAAGGTCCCAGGTTCGATTCTGGTCAAGGGCATGTACATTGGTTGCGGGCACATCCCCGGTAGGGGTGTGCAGGGGGCAGCTGGTCGATGTTTCTCTCTCATTGATGTTTCCAGCTCTCTATCTCTCTCCCTTCCTCTCTGTAAAAAATCAATAAAAAATATATTTAAAATATATATATTTTTTATTGATTTTTTTACAAAAATATATATATTTTTTATTGATTTTTTTACAAAAAATTTTTTTTTTAATTGATTTTTTACAGAAAGGAAGGGAGAGAGATAGAGAGCTGGAAACATCGATGAGAGAGAAACATCGACCAGCTGCCTCCTGCACACCCCCTACCGGGGATGTGCCCGCAACCAATGTACATGCCCTAGACCGGAATCGAACCTGGGACCTTTCAGTCCGCAGACCGATGCTCTACCGCTGAGCCAAACCGGTTTCGGCTCGGCTCGCAGTGTTTTAAAGACGTCCCGATTTTCTGAAAGATCGGGACTTTTTTAAAACGCTGCGGGACACATTGTTAAAAATCGGGACTGTCCCGCCAAAAGCGGGACGTCTGGTCGCCTTACTCTAAGGCAAACTGTGGTTTGTTCCTCACCCATCCCGCCGGGGCAGGCAGAGGCCTCCCTGCTTCAGACTCTTCAGGACAGCCAGCACTGGCACAGGAGGCTGGAGGAGCCATCACCACCGAGGCCCATTAGGCCTCTCCCCTCACCCCTGCGAAGGGCAGCAGGAGTTTCTGAACCACATCGTTGCTTATGCTGAGCTAATGTCATTATGGCACAACATAATATTCACCAATAAGTTTAATTCCATCATTTAGTGTCCAAGCCAGTTTGGCTCATTTACTTAAACAAACAAAGAAAAAAAGCCCTTAGCCGGTTTGGCTCAGTGGATAGAGTGTCAGCCTGCAAACTGAAGGGTCCCAGGTTCGATTCCGGTCAAGGGCACATGCCCGGATTATAGGCTCAATCTCTAGTGGGGGGCGAGCAGGAGGCAGCTTATCAATGATTCTCTCATTGTTGATGTTTCTGTCTCTCTCTCTCCCCCTCCCTTTCTCTCTGAAATCAATAAATATATTTTTAAAATAAATAAAAATAAAATAAATAAAAATAAAAGGAAGAAAGAGCCCGAGGCTCAGTGGTTGAGCATCTACCTATGAAGCACGAGGTCACAGTTCAATTCCTGGTGAGGGCACATGCCCTGGCTTCGGGCTTGATCCCCAGCGTGGGGCGTGCAGGAGGCAGCTGATCAATGATTCTCTCTCATGATGGATGTTTCTATCTTCCTCTCCCTTCCTCTCTGAATCAATACAAATATATATATTTTTTTAAAAGAAAGACAAAAAAGGGAGGGTGGTGGAAAGAGCCAGTAAAAACATGTGAGATTCAGGGAAGTTTGCTGGATTGACTCAAAACTTTTTGGGACTTCTTCAAATTTCAGAGCACCCTCCGACAGTGAAAGCAGAAAAGGACTTCCAGGGCGAATTGTAGCTTTTTCATCCAAACGCACACAGAATTCTTCCCTCCTTTTTTATGGCTTATCATCCCCTCTCTCTTCCAGGAAAAACTGCAGCCAGGAGAATCACAAGAAATCCCTCCCGAGGGCTGAGGCCCAGGCACCTCCCTCGGGGCCCCCGGGGTCCCCAGGCGGTCAGAGGCCTCTGTGCCCGCAGGTTCTTCCTGGACTCAGAGCAATCTCTCAATGTGGGGACACTTCCAAGAACCAAGGAGGCTTTGTCCTCCTGCCTCTGCGGCCGTGGGGAGCATGGGTGCGGGTGTGGGGAGCAGGGACTCACCCTGACAACAGGGCCTTCTAAGGCACTGCCCCCACACACACACCCTCCAGCCAGCAGCTTCACGGCAAGGTCTGCCCAGAAATCCTCAGGTCCCCGTGCGTGTGCCCTCCCAGGCACCGGTCCCTAACAGAGACAATCAGGGTCCACCCACAGCACGGGCCCTCCACGCAGCCATGGCCTCACGGGGGGGCATGAGCAACTCACGTACAGAGCAGGTGCTAGGATCACGTCCTTGTTTTACAGGGGGAAACTGAGGCACCACCTGCCCTGGTTACCGCACCTGCCCTGGCCAGCCAGCGCAAAGCCGTGCGTGGGGCTGAGCCTCAGGTGGGCAGTCCCCCCTGCAGAGGGGAGACCCCAGCCCCCTACCCTCACACAGGGCAGCCCCTCCAGCTCTGTCAGATGGGGGTACAAGACCCCACATTTCTAAGGAGACTCAGCTGAGCCTGTGCCTTTACCTGTGTGGTTTGAAAACTGGACAGAGTTCACGGCGTCGATCTCAAACCCCAAAACCTGCAAGACAGACAGAGAAGGACCAGGTGTGAGAGAGCTGTGGCTGGCAGTGACCCCCCTGGTCCCCCTGGCCTGGAGGAGGGGAGCCAACGCATGCCGGCCCCCAGGTGCAGGGCCCAGAAGGGTCTCCCCGAGCCTGGCTCCGTGTCCGCACTCTGGTGGTGTCTGTGCCAGGTGATGGGCTGCGACACAGAGGCCACTCGCCACCAGCTGGGACGCAGTGCCTTCGGATCACTCCTGGAAATCCCACTAACAAGCACGCAAAGAAACCCGGGAAGCCACCAACCAAGACCACCCCCCATACAAGCAGGGGCAAGCCGGAAGCCACAGGGCAGTGTGAGGCCAGTGGCCCTGCCCGGGGCCAGGAGGAGGGGACAGGACGCAGGAGACGTGGCTGGCCAGGCCAGTGAATAAGGACAAGAGGCCCAGAGCAGGAAACGGTCAACTCCGGGACTTCTGGTCGACCTGGTCCACGGACTTCACACCTCCCTTTCCCGAGCTCAACGGAGAACAGTATCTTTCTGTAACACCGACCCACAAGACAACGGAGGGGAGCAGACGAGAGACTTCAACAGACTGCGGAGGAGCTGAAACAGACACTTCCCAGGCCTTTAAATGAAAATCTCAGTGCCTACAGGGGGCACAGGGAAGAAGTGGGTCCATCCTCTGTACAGTCTCCCAGAGAGACAGGGCAAGAGAGAGCGAGTGAGAGAGACCATGTAAAAACACAGAGACTGAGAGCCCGGCCAGCGTGGCTCAGGGTGTGAGCATCGACCTATGAACCAGGAGGTCACGGTTCTATTCCCAGTCAGGGCACATGGTCGAGCCTCAGTAGAGGGAATGCAGGAGACAGCCAATCAATGATTCTCTCTCATCACTAATGTTTCTCTCTCTCTGAACTGTATAAAAATATATTTTTTAAAAAAACAACAGAGACTGAGAGACAGACAGTGTGAGACAGACAATAAGCAGCAGAAAGTGTGTAAGGAAGAAACAACAGGGAGGACAGAAATGCAGGGACGTGCTGGCCCTGGGGCCTCCCACCCCTCTGTCTGCCATTCTGCTCCAGCAACGCCCCCTTCTGTGCACCAACAACCTTCACCCCTCCACACCCCTTGACAGCCTGCACATAAGTCACAGGACATGGGAACAGACCAAGATGCTGGTGGACCCTACTGGCTGACAAGACCACCCACAGGAGAGCAGCTGGCAGGACAGACTGCCGGTCCCCGGGATGAGAACAGGTTGCTCTGTAGCAGAGCCGAGCTCACCGCCGGGCTCCTGGGAAGCAGCGCTGTGGGCCCCTGAGCCTTCGCACCGTGCACAACCCCGTCTGAGTGAGGGGGAGCCCGCGGAGGTGACCATGTTCTGCAGCGAAAGGCATTGTGTCCACGCGCGTCTGTCTAATTACACGTCCTTCAGAGCAGGGGTTCTGGCTGATGGGCAGGGAGGAGAGCGATCTGGATCAGAGGACTCCACACACGTCCTGGCTTCAAAGACTGAGGCCGCATGCTGAGCTTCAGGCAGCATCCGCCGCACTGACAGCCGAGGCAGCACACGCACAGGGGACCACGTTAAATGCAAACGTGGTGACTACCTCACCTCACCAGGTCTCTGTGGGGCTGGGCTCAGCCGGGGGCAGTACTTACACCACAGACACTGGCACACACCCTCCCCACCTCAAGCCAGCTTCCTGCTGCTGTTACTCCTCACCCGAGGATATTTTTCCATGATTTTGAGAGAGAGAGGAAGAGAGAGAGAAACGCGTCAATTAATTGCTTCCCACACGGCCCCCATATGGGGCTGGAAATCGAGCCTGCAACTGAGGTACGTGCCCTTGACCAGAATCAAACTGAGGATCCTTCAGTCCACGGGCTCATGCTCTATCTACTGAGCCAAACCAGCTAGGGCCCAAGCCAGTTTATTAACAGTTGCCAGCACACAGTAAAAAGATATAAACTGTCATTTTAAGAAAAAACAGGAAGGGGGTGGGGGCGGCTGGGGACAGATCAATGGGAGTGGGGGGGTGGGGAGGGGGAATGGAGACTTATGTAATACTTTATTTTATTTTATTTTTTTATTTTTTTTTAAAATCAATCTTTATTGTTCATATTATTACAAAGGTTCCTCATTTCTTCCTCCCTCCACCAGGTTCCCACCCCACCCTCTGCCCCCTCCCCATCCCCCATTGTCCTCATCCATAGGTGCAGTTTATGTTCAGTCTCTTCTTCCCTCAATTTCCCCAATAGTAAATCCCTTTTCAGATAGTAAATCAGTTACTTAGCATTTTCTCATATCAATAATACCTCCACATGCCCAATGATACACTTCACACAAAAGACATTTCCCAATAGGTCCACCAGCCTCATCCAGGCCCCACACAAGGCACTCACAGATCAACACCCCAGCCCTAAACTAACTCAACACATCCAGATCTAAGCCTTCATCACTTGATTCAGCAGACCCTCAAGTTCCCACGAAAGTTTCCAGCCATGTCTGAGAAGCAGCCGTGGGGCAGGGGCAGGCAAGGAGCGAGCTGTTCTGGGCCTGGCTGCTCAGGGCCTGGCCTCTGTTGCTCTGGTTCATTCCATAACCAGCTGCTCCGGGTCTAGTCACTGCCGCTCCCGACCTAGTTGCTCTGGACTTGGCTGCTGCTGCTCCGGGCCTGGCCGCTCCCAGCCTGGCAGCCGCTGCTCCGGGCCTGGCCGCACCCGACCCGCCTGCTCCCCCGGGCCTGGCCGCTCCCAGCCTGGCAGCCGCTGCTCCGGGCCTGGCCGCACCCGACCCGCCTGCTCCCCCGGGCCTGGCCGCTCCCAGCCTGGCAGCCGCTGCTCCGGGCCTGGCCGCACCCGACCCGCCTGCTCCCCCGGGCCTGGCCGCTCCCAGCCTGGCAGCCGCTGCTCCGGGCCTGGCCGCACCAGCCCCGGCTGCTCCCCCGGACCTGGCCGCTCCCAGCCTGGCAGCCGCTGCTCCGGGCCTGGCCGCACCCGACCCGCCTGCTCCCCCGGGCCTGGCCGCTCCCAGCCTGGCAGCCGCTGCTCCGGGCCTGGCCGCACCTGACCCGGCTGCTCTGGGCCCGGCTGCCCCGGGCCCGGCTGCTCCGAGCCTGGCCACTCCCGACCTGGATGCTCTGGGCTTGGCTACTGCTGTTCTGGGTCTGGCTGCTCCCACCCCGGCTGCTCTGGGCCCGGCTTCTCCAGGCCCGGCCACTCCGGGTCTGGGTGTTCCTGGACTGGCCACCCTGGGCTTGGCCGCCTCCGCCTCATGCCTGGCTGCCACTGCCCCAGGTCTGGCTACTCCAGTGCTGGCTGTTGATGCTCTGGTTCTGGCTGCTGTTGTTCTGGTGCCTGGCCGTTGCTGCTCTGGGTCTGGCTACCACTGCCTTGTGCCTGGCCACTCTAGGCCTGGCCACCGCTGTTCCAACATTCTGTCCTTTTTTTTCCTTTTTTCTTTTTAAAACGCATTTATGTTGCAATGTTGGCTGGTGAGTTGAGTTCTGACTTAGTCTTTGATTTTTCAAGATCTTCTTTGTATTCTTTCTTAAGTAATTTTACTATTTTTTGCTCTCACTTGATTTCTTCACATTGAGAACTTCTTTGGTTTCTTCCTCCTTGTCCTGGGAGCTCAGCAGGTTGGCCTGTGGCACCCCTTTGTTCTCCGCGGACTCCTGCGCTGCTTCAGCCTGTTGCCGGGGACGGCGCCGCCCAGGAAGCAGCCCCCGGCCTTGGCTCCATTGCCCGAGCTCAGTGGTCAAAGGCTCAGGGGCACCCACGCCCCCAGGGGTCCTGTGGCCCGCCTCCTTGCTGGTGCCCGGTTGGCTGGAGTCCGGCAGGGGCTTCCGCTCCCCTCCGTGTTCCCCCAGCCTGGAGCTTTTTTTTTTCTCCTTCCCGCTAGAGAAATCCAGCATCAGAGTCAACAGACTGTCCTCTGCGCGCAGTTTGCGCGAGTCCCACAGACTGTCCTCTGTGCGCAGTTTGCGCGAGTCCCGGGGGCCAGGCCTTCCGCGCTCTCCCCAGACTCCACCTCACAGCCCCGTCTCCCTCTGCCTGAGCCTGGGTCCCCAGGGATTAGCCCAGAACTGGGGTTCGGAGCAGTCCGGACGGAGGCCCCGTTTCTTCTGGCTAGGGTAACCCAGCATCAGAGTCAACATTCAGTCCTCTGCGCGCATTGCGCGCGACTCCTGGGGCCCTGCTTTTCGCCGTTTTTCCGCCTCACAGCCCCGTCTCCTCCCGCGGGAGCCTGGGTCCCCAGGGTCTGGCCCATAACTGGGGCTCAGCGCTGCCGGGTTCGGGGGGGTTCAGCGCTGCCGGTTCGGGGGTTCAGCCCAGGCTGGGGGTTTTATTTCCTTCCTGCTAGGGAAGGAAAGGCAGCTCCCCGCCCTCTCCTCCTCTCCGGCTGCGACCTCTCCAAGCGTGCGTGCGGGCAGACGCGCGCGCAGCATGTCTCCGTACCTTGGGCTTTTTTTCAGCTCCTCTGATTTTCTTTCTGGTTTTCTCTTTCCTTCTTGTTGTAGAAATTTCAGTCAGTCGACTACCTGTAGCTCTGGGCAATGTCCACTCTACATTTTAGTTGTATTCCATTGAAATTGTTGTGTGCTGCCGCGGCTAGATGTCTACCCAAGCAGCCATCTTGGATCCTCTTCCTTATGTAATACTTTAAACAATAAAATTTTTTTTTAAAAAAAAAGATACTATGTTTGAATTTTAAAAAAGGAAAAGAAAAAAGAGAAATCCCAGATACAAGTGTTATCCCATATCAAGGCTGTGGGCTTGAACTTGGGTCAGGGCACCCAATCAACCAATGAGTGCATACATAACTGGAACAGCAAGCTGATGTTTCTCTTTCTCTTTCTCTCAGCCTCGGTGGGGACCCAGGCCCCAGCGGCTGCACACCCACTTGGCAGCTGAATCACCCATGCACCGTGCTAACTGCGAGGCAGATGCAGCTCTGCGATCCGCCTCATCACAGCGGCCGCCAGAAATGCCAGAATGTTCCAGGGC